TGATGGTTTTATTTTCTAGATGCTAAAAGTCATTGAGATAGTAAATACAAGGTTTTCCACTGATGTGGACAACTTAGGCCCCTCCACATATTTTTAGCTGCAACTCCCATCACATCCTCTCAACACAGCTACTAATGGATAACTGACAGAAACTGTGCTCCAATAACTTATCTTTTATGCAGGTATTGTCCATAACAAACCTCTTAACATTGCTGACCATGACTTCATTTGTAGGATCTAATATTGGCTTCACACATCAAGATACCATTTATTTAAACTATTTCTCAGACATTTTTCAGGACTCTACTCCTCTGTGACACATACAGATCTTTACCTCTTCCTTGTACAAGTCAAGAAGCACAATTAATCAGAGCTTCCAATTATTCTTAAACCAGGAACTAGGAATGACTTCCAAATAAACCAGAATTCACAAGTCCTTGTTAAACCATGGCATGATATTGTGGCTTGTCTGGAACCCATTAACAGGTACTTGAAGATTTACTTGCCAATAGCAAAAGTTCTGGACAGCAGGATAATCAAATTACAAATTACTAAATTTCCACTGAAGCTTCCAAACCATTAAGAATCAGTATTTCTACTCTTTACACACTACAAATCAGACTTGAACAGGTGTTTTGCCTTCCCCTCCCTGCATGCCACATGACTCAAGGGAAAAATCAAAATTACAGTTGCCCAACATTTGTGAACTCTGTCCACTAACTACTGTTTCCCAAGTCAAATATAATGCAAAGCTACAATTAACTGCAGCTTCTTGACTTGTTTCTCTTCTTACATAATTATAAAAGCATCTCGAGATAAGATTTAGTCACTCAAAGCAGAAGACAATGCACAGTAGGACCAAGGTATCCACAGATCAATTCCAAGTACACACACCCCTGTGGATGCTGAAAACCAGATATGCAAATTCTAAATATGGCATAGTATCTAATTCCCTCTAGTGGCCAGTTCTAGTAATACAGCTTGGAAATGCATATTTCTCAGTTACTTTATTGAATATTTTCAAGCACCAGAGAACTGTAATCATGGGTACTGATCTCGCAGATACAGCAGTTGTATTGTATATCATTTGCTCTTTATATGTGCTGCAACATATGAGAGATGCATATTTTCACAGAAAACAATCAAAACTTCGGCAATAAGAAAGAAAAGATTAATCAGAGAGGTCTAGTGGAAATGAGATACATATAAATGTGTAACTAAATACAAACACTGAAGATTTAACACTGAATCATTAGTCTGATCTCTTATTAAAGAGATTATCACAATCTTAAATAAAATCCAAAGGCAGAATATCTTCATTTTTTTCAGACTCAGGACTGAGTTACACAATCCATTTCTAATTTTTAAAATAATGCACCTATGTTCTTGTTCTCTTGTCCTCAAACAAGTAAATAGAAAACAGCAAGTTTTCTGTATTTTAACAGTTGTATAGAAAAGAGCATTTGGGGGATGCAGCTTTATCATGCAAGTGCAACTAAAGCTACAGCTGTGACCTGCTGAAATACTGTTTTATTCAACTACTAAAAGGCATAGGAAGCATCTTTTCCTTTTCCTTCAACCACCATGTGTCATTCTGAAGTTTTGAAAAACTGAAGAAATGGGTCAGTCTCACTAATGCAGCCAAATTTAGACTAGGACACAAACTCACTAAGACCAGTACTGTATGTGATGCACCTGGACTAATGAAATAAAAGTTTGAATTCCACTCAACATATTTACCAAGAGGAGGTTCAAGCAACTCACTGCATTCTCTGTACAGTACTGCTATGGAAATAAAACTTCTGAACTAAGCAGCAACATGCAGCCCCAGACATCTTATCTTACCAAAATTTGGCCTTGCCATTCCTGTTGAAAACATCATTCATTTTTTAGAAGGAATGTGTGATCCAAATATAATAAATCATACGGTACTATAAGTTTGGAATTTTCAGAATTCTGAAAAACTTTCTAAACATTTCACTTGGATTACAGTAACCCCTACCTGTAAAATAGACTATATTTATCCATCATCATCATCATATATAGAATACTGAAATAGCCAAATTATGTCCAATTTATTCATGATTTAAGGTCTGAAATAGTGACTTCTTTGCTCAAATCATTATACAGAGGTGCCTCGCTTGACGATTACCTCATTAGACAAGGAAATCGCTTGACGATGAAGTTTTTGCGATCGCTTTTGCAAATGCAAAACGATGTTTTAATAGGCAAAAATTGCTTAACGACGATCAGTTCCCTGCTTTGGGAACCGATTTTTCGCTTAATGACGATCTTTACAGCTGATCGTCGGGTCTTCAAAATGGCCACCCGCTGTTTAAAATGGCTCCCCGCTGTGTTTTAGGATGGATTCCTCGCTTGGAGGCACCGAAAATGGCTGCCCTATGGAGGATCTTTGCTGGACGCTGAGGTATTTTGCCCATTGGAATGCATTGAACTGGTTTTCAATACATTTCAATGGGCTTTTTCGTTTCGCTTGATGAGGATTTTGCTTAACAGCGATTTGAACGGAACGAATTATCCTTGTCAAGCGAGGCACCACTGTACTATACCAGCTCCTATACTGGAACTAATTGCTTAGTCCAGAGCTGTGATGGTGAACTTTTTTGTGCCCCAGTGCCCAAATTCCAACACAAACCAACTTATTTATTTCAAAGTGCCAACACTGCAATTACAGTAAACCTGAATCCTGAGGTTTTAGTTTAGTTTAAAGGGGGGGAAACCAATTGTCCCTGCCCTGTAAGGGTTAAATGCTTAGGGTTTTTCCAAGGGGCAGAATTAATGGAGAAATCCCTAGAGATCCTCCAATCCCCCTTCAGGCTAGACTGGTAATGGCTGCCATTGTACCCCTCTGCTGGACCACTGCACCAGCAGAGGGGAGTGCCGAAATCTGAAATCAGAGGATGGGTAAGTATTTCTCGATGGCTACTTATGGCTTGCATGCCAGTTTCGGCATGTGTGCCATAGGTTCACCATTGCTGGTCTAGACCAGGGGTCCCCAACCCCTGGTCCGCAGCCTGGTGCCGGACTGTGGCGACAGATCTCCCAATCCCCGCACACACTCCCACACACACAGCCCCTTCACGCATGCGCGTGAGCACCCCCACCTCTTTGCGCATGTACATGAGTGCCCCCACCCCTTTGTGCATGCGCACCAATGTGTGCTTGTGCTGCACAAGTGTCCCCAACCCTTCGCGCATGCATGCAAGTGTAGCATGCCCACATGAACAAGTGCTGCCCCTTCACGCATGCACGCGAGCGCACGGGTGCCTCGACCGCCCAGACCCCACTCCCACCCGGTCCACAGCGTCAAAACGGTTGGGGACCACTGATCTAAAGGATATGCAAAAACAGAACAATCCACCAAAAGCTAGTTACTATGCCAATATTAATTCCCTCATTTATAATGGCACAAGACTCAAAAACAAGGATTTTCACCACCCACCCATAGCTGAAAGAAAGAACAGTAGAGTTGTATCTTAAATCTAGTTAGTTTTGCTTTATACTTTTGATTACAGAAAATGAAATAGTTCTGAACTTGTCCATTAACTGACAATCTATGAACATACCACACAACTTGCTTCACCCATCAAGCAACAAACAATAAAAATGAAACACTTTCAGACAAAGAACTTCAACTACAAGGAACTGGAACAGTGAATCTGTCAAAACAGCAAACACCTGGCATTTCCAAGACATTTTGTACTGATTCATACAACCACATTTTGGAGTTTGTTTTCCATCCACATTTACACTGTACATGTGAGCAACACAACTGTCACCTTTTAAACACAAATTCTTATTTACAGAATAAAATACTTCTGAAAAACACTTTAAGGTGATGTAAAACATCAGGAGCTACATGTACATCAATGTGTCCAATGATCAAACACACATGCATGAACACAAACTGAGACTTCAAGACAGAATGCAAACATGAAATATAAGCCCCAACACAGAACATGCTGTAACTCTGAAAACAGCCAGCCATAAAAGAAAGGGGTGTGCTTTTTACACCTGCTTAGATTCTAGCATTAATAACCTACCACACCACTATTTTTTTCCAAAATACAAATATTTCTGTAAGAGTTTGACAATACTATCAAAATCTATTACTATCCTCTTCTTATTAGTGATATAGAACAACTGTCCTCAACGAACTTTCAATCCATCTTTTAAATTTCACAATTTAATGAACACTCAAGAGTTTGGGTACGTATTTTCAACTATTCACTCAGAATAAAAATTAAGTTCGTGATTGTTTGTCTCCAACTCCACTCGAAGACATTTTTCCAAATTTAAATTAAAATGTGATTTTAATCCAGGATATCATTCCTGCCTTACTAAATTCACTAATTATTTCCAATTATTCTGCAATTCCTTAGGTATTAGAAAGCTCTGCTACTGATAAGGCACCATTTAGACACGTATCTGAAAATTCAAAAATTCCATTGTGATTCCTGTTTGAGAAGAATAGGCAAGCTGCAGCCCTTCAGATGTTGTTAAACTGCAACTCTCATAATCTCTCATCACAGTATGCCAGCTGGAGCTGATGAGAACTGCAGTTTAACAATGTATTGAAAGTTAAATATTTCCCACATCCCACCTTATGTGCAATAATGAGAGGAGAAGGAAATGCCTGCCATGAGCTATTACCCTTTCCACACATAATATAAAGTTATGGGAGAATCACAGAGAAAATGCTAGAGGTGAATATAAATGGGAAAAAGCTGAATGTAAAGAGTTAAAAATAATAAGTGGACCGTGCTGCCTACATCATTGCTTATTCATTAAAAATACATGCCAGCCAGATTTTACTTCTATCTTCAAATTTAAAGTTTTTAAATACACATCTGTGAAAAAGGGGAAATACTAACATTTGTAATAAAGCTCAAGTTGAACTATATGAAGTCAAGAACAAATTAAGGTGAAAAGAGAAAAAAAATATATGCACACTGAGAAAACCCAAAACAGTCACTTACTTCTGAACTAGGTTGCTTTGTCCATATCATATATTCTTTGAGGCAGTGCTGGATTCTGTTGAAAACAAACCTGCAGAGATTTCAGATGTTGTTAACAGAAACAATGCAAAACTTTCTTTACTAGCTCAATAAATCTATCCTCTCAGAAAAAAATAGTCAGTAATCTGAATTTGGACTGTTCTACAATGCAAAGGACAGAAAAACCTTAGACTACATTCTACTTTTAGCTCCAACTAGGCCTGACCTATTGAACCAATAGGGCTTGTAAAAGGTAACCTCTATGTAAGTCTTATTGATTCAATAGGACTATTCTAGCTGAGCAAGAAAGTGGTACTGTATCTAAAAGCAGACACAACACATTTTTATCCAGTAACAACAATGAAGAGTGCATAAACAATGGGAAAACCACTCCCTCAATGTTACTAAGAGTTCAAACACACTTGCCAAAAGAGCCCCAGTTATACCGACTTGACTGTTATTTGCCATATTTTTCCATTTATAACACGCTCCTGTTTATAAGACACCTCTAACTCAAAAATTGAGAAAACTTAGCTTTGAGGATTCAGCCTCTGGGTTCAGAACGTCAGTCATTTTGAGTTTGTTGAATCTGAACCTACAGGCTCCACCTCCAACAAGGTGTGTTCTAATTGGTTTGTTCAGGATCAGCTGATGTCAGTTCCATAAGGCTCATGATTGGAGGAAGCTAAGCCTCATCACTGAAGGAAGCCTGTTTGCAGAGGCAAGGTATGGGCTGTTTTGTACTCTCCTCAGCTAACTTCTGTGTAAAAGACGCCCCTCAATTTTTGTGTAATGATTTTTGGAAAAAGTAGTGTCTTATACATGGAAAGATATGGTATATCATTTTATATTTTTCCATTCATATGACGTATAGAAAACATCAATTCATTTGCCCCTGCAATCAGTTTATTTCCATGTGACCACTGGAAAAAATGTATTGGAACGGTGGCATAAAATAATTGGTATAACTGGTGTTCTTTTCTCACCTGTGATCAAGCCCTAACATATACCACAAAAGGGTTTTCAGGGGGGAAATAAGATGGAGGGATGCACTGCACCTCACCCTTCCAGCACAACCCTACATCATAAATGCACTAGTAAGAAACCACATGAAAGGACTACAAAGGGACATTTGTGTCAAGTGGTTTAAAACCTCACATACCTTGCTCTACTTCTAGAGGACAACATGCTGTCAGTCACTTACAGTGTATGCAGAGCCATTAGTTGAAATAGGATCAGGTTCTTCTATGATCTGAACCCAGCAGCTATGGAGTACTAGCTATCACATACACAAGAATGTTTCTAACATAATACTGCTGCATCACAACAGTTAGCACTACTTGCATACGAAATACTGAACAGAACAAGGTGCCTACCCAGAAAGCTTAAGAGTACATCTGATCTGGTTCAGATGTCATGGTACCCGGACAGAATAAACTTGTACTACATAACCTCATTAACACCCACAACTTCAATTTGTACTTTCTGCCTTTTAAAAATCATTTTCCTAATCTGGATATTGAGGGAAACAATCATTTAAGAAATCAGAATACCAGACCCACTCCAGAAAAGGAGGGAAAGAGTGCACAAAAGCATAACATCTTGCTCTGCATGTGATAAGCAACTGGATCATCACCTTCACTTCTACACATTCTAATCATTCAGGTCTGAATTCTGATACAAACTGAACTTGATTTCGACTGAAAGTATTTTCACACAGACATGCCTTATATTAGTCCACACATTTCTGTAAAGAACAAACTTTATGGCATACAAAACAGCAATAATAAAGATTATTTAAAAGAGATTTTCAAATGTTACATGCCATTTCCTTTATTGCTAACACTAAAAATACCCAAACAATTAAAACAAAAAGATACAAACATTTTGAAGCCTTTACCAGTAGAATGTTAAGCTCAATGTGAATTTTAAATACTTACAAAATCCAACAGAACTGCACAGACTGACATTAATGGTTTGTGATTTGTATTTTCCAGTTTGCTCCCCTCGAATATCCTGAGTTCCTTAAAGATACTACATCTGTAGACACACAGTATAAAGGTGATCTTTGGAAATCAGCTACCCATTCTTCACATTTGAGGACTCCATAAAGTTATTTTCAGAAATCAGACAAATATGTTTTTAACGGCTCGTCTTGCCTTTTGATAACTTGTCACTTTTGGATTCCACCTATATTTCACTATCATGAACATCAGTTCTAGAAAAAATAAATAAAGTTTTTATAACAGAAACAGCAGAACTGAAAAGTCAAACTGCATTCGAAGCAAAATACATTGCTTACTTCAGGCACCTGCAGACAGCAGCTATCTCAATATACCCATATTCTTTACATTTAAAAATAGTAAAAAATTCAAATGGACAATAAAGGTCTTAGTTTCTTCATTTAGGAATCACATTTCATTGTAAAAAAAAGTAATGGGAGGCTTTCAAAATGGAAATAATAGTATTCAAGAGTAATCAGAAGCTACATTTAATTTACTCTTGCAGGCCTAGTTCACAACACAAGTCATTTCAGTCTCACCTACAATTTTTGGTCTAGAAAGTAAAAATATGTTTTCAAAATAGCACGCAAAACCTAAGAAGTTTATAAAATTGTCCATTCCATATGGGCAAAAATTATTCCAAAATGCAGTCTTGAATTGAAAGGGGGCACCAGAAGTTCATAAGCCGTTCAAACTGGGTTCTCTTCTCTCAATTTTACTTCAGAATTGTCTTCAGAAATATTTGAAATGGAAAAGCAATTGAACAAATCAGAATCCTAATTCCATTTTGAGTCAACAATTTTTTTCAACTGAAGCAAAAAAACAATAGGTAAGATCCAGCCAGTTTTTCTTCACAAGCGCAGACTACCCGTTGCAAAATATCCAGGCTCACATTCAAAACCGAGATCACCTAGAAATGAGGAAAAGACACAAAGCATGCAATCAACTTCATTCCCTATACATCTAAGTATTTTTTATTAATCTGCTCTCAATAACCATCAAAACCACAATCTACTTGCAGCACAGAAAAGTCTAAAAAGAACATTCAACCAATGCACATGAAATCAGACACAAAGATTTTTAAAAACCTCTCACATTCTTGAGTAAAACTGTAGTAAAAATGTTCCAAAGCATGTTCCTCTGTTCAAATTTGGGACAAGAAAGTACTAAAACAATAAAACAAAGAACCAGAAAGAACAGAGCCAAAAACAAGAGTTAATATGGCTGCAGTCCCACGTATGCCTACCTGGGAACAGGCCCAACGAAGATCTTGAGGCCTACTTAGAGCAGGTATACAAGAGAAACAAACTCCAGACCTCTCAGGCAGACTACACTCCAGAAGTTTGGATGTGAAACAAAGAAGGCAATATCGTAGAAATTGGGAGGAAACAAGCTCGTGGCTTCAAGTATTTACCTAGGAGTACACAAGCACTTCCTTCCAAGGTTTCACTCTTTTTCCTCCCTCCCAGGTAAAGTCGGGGACAAGTTCTTCATCCCCTATTAATAAACAGGTTAACGAACGGTGGTTGCTTATTTTTTTTGTCGTTTTTCCCTCAATTTTGCTTCAGCGAAGACGAACCCAAATCATCTGCGCCTGTTGGGGTGTTGTTGTTTTAAAGAACATGAAGAGGCCACATGCTCTCGGCTGGAGACCGACAAGGCGGGGGTGGGCACGAATGATTAATTACGGAAGTGACTCTGAGGCAAAAGACTCTTCCCAAGTATAAGGGTTTTAGATACTAGCTGTTCTTCCTCACTACTTCCCCGGAGACCTGCCTTCCTCCACACTCCCTGCATCCCGCCCCCCCTCCCGCACATACATACATACACACAAACACCACAACCCACTCTCTTCACAAATATTGTTTCTCCGGCCATCGCCTCCCTCGGCCTGCTCATCGAGTGAGGCGGCAGCAGCGCGGCTCTAACCTGCGAGTCAAGTCTCGGCTTTAAAGCGGGGTCCCCAATTTGAAAGCGCTTTTTTTTGCCGCCGACGACGACACTTCTCCCCCACCGCGCGCACAACTCCTCGCTCCAGTCACTCAGTCCGTCCCAAAATGGCGCCGCTCCGAGCCGCGGCAGAGATGCCCTGCGCCCAAGCCTCGCGAGACTTCACCAACCGCCGCTGCCGCGCGCGAGAGAAACGCGGCGAAAGGAGAGGAAAAGAAGCCGCGCTCGCGTTGTTGATGTCGGGCTCTACTGTACTGTACCGGCCGAAGGACCCTGTCTGCGCGCGCGTGCGCATAAGTAAAAGAGAAGCTGCCGCGGGCAGTCAAGAGAGCGCGCCCAGCGAGACTGCTCACAGGTTTGAAGGGAACCCGAAAAGAGAACCTTTTGTGGTTCCTCCCTGATGCAGCGACGCTGTGACTCTACGCCGGCCAGCTGCGAGCCTTCCCGATGTGACGTCACACGGAACAATCCCGAAGGTTCAGAGAGCGGCGAAAGGGGGGAATCCCTTGCCGCGAGAGCGCGCCCGCGCTCGCGCGCCCAGCTCTCTTCTCTCTTACTCTTGGGAATCCCCCGGTGGCTGCTTGTTATGCCTGGCAGGGAAGAAAAGCGAGAGAGGAGGCGTGCGAAAAGTAACACTGGGATCCACCTGCGCTTCTTACACTAATACCTCAAGAAGTAATAAAGTATATCCGTCTTAAAAAGAAACTCCCCCCACCATATTGTTTCCTACTGTTGGTTTTATCATAATTCCATTTCAGTGGATTTGTTGATTTCTATGAAGGCCGCCTTGAATGAATATACATATATATGCACACACACATAGTGCATACAGTTGTGTTCAAAATTATTCAACCCCCAATGCTGTAAAGGGGTTTAGGGACTATAGTGTACATTTGGAATTGTATTCAGAGTGAAATCCTACAAGGACGTTTTAAAGAACCAAATGCAACTAAAATAACATCAATTGTTTATGTAATACAGTAGTAAATGTTTCTTTTGTGGTTTCTTCATTGCCACAATTATTCAACCCCTTAAAGACTACCACTCTGAAGAAGAGAGGTTCATTCAGGTGTTTTCGATCAGGTATTGAAAACACCTGTGGATGTCACCGAGCACCAATCAAGCATAAAAAGCACCAATTAGGCAGCTTTAAAATGACTGTGATACTCAGCTCCTTCTAGACATTTACTGGTGTGGTTACAAACATGGTGAAGTCAAGAGAATGGTCCAGGAACACAAGAGAAGAGGTGATTTGTCTTCACAGGAAGGGCAATGGCTATAAGAAGATTGCAAAGAAGTTAAACATACCAAGAGACACCACAGGAAGCATCATTCACAAATTCAAGGCAAAGGGCACTGTTGAAATGCTACCTGGTCGTGGAAGAAAGAAGATGCTGACTTCGACTGCTGTGCGCTACCTAAAGCGTAGAGTGGTGAAAAGTCCCCGTGTGACTGCTGAGGAACTGAAAAAAGATTTGTCAGATGTGGGTATAGAAGTTTCAGCTCAGACAATAAGGCGCACACTGCGTAATGAAGGTCTCCATGCCAGAACCCCCAGGCGCACCCCCTTGCTGTCTCCCAAGAATAAGAAGAGTCGACTGCAGTATGCCAAAAGTCATGTGGGCAAACCACAAAAGTTGTGGGATAGTGTTCTGTGGACTGATGAAACAAAATTAGAACTGTTTGGGCCCATGGATCAACGCTATGTTTGGAGGAGGAAGAACAAGGCATATGACGAAAAGAACACCTTGCCTACTGTGAAGCATGGCGGAGGGTCAATAATGCTTTGGGGCTGTTTTGCTTCTGCAGGTACAGGGAAGCTTCAGCGTGTACAAGGTACCATGAATTCTCTTCAGTACCAGGAGATATTGGATGAAAATGTGATGCAGTCCGTCACACACCTGAGGCTTGGGAGACGTTGGACCTTTCAACAGGACAATGATCCCAAGCATACCTCCAAGTCCACTAGAGCATGGTTGCAGAGGAAAGGCTGGAACATTTTGGAGTGGCCATCGCAGTCACCAGACTTAAATCCGATTGAGAACCTCTGGTGGGACTTAAAGAAAGCAGTTGCAGTGCGCAAGCCTAAGAATTTGACTGAACTGGAGGCTTTTGCCCATGAAGAATGGGCGAAGATACCCGTAGATCGCTGCAAGACACTTGTGTCATGCTATGCTTCACGTTTAAAAGCTGTTATAACTGTAAAAGGATGTTGTACTAAGTACTAAGATTGAATGTCACTTGGGGGTTGAATAAAAACTAATAATGATGTGAGCACAGAAAAGACATTTGTGGTTATTTCATTATAAACTTAAGGTTATATTTCTCTGACCTACAAGTGCCTCTTTCATGTAAATGTAAGCAAGATGACTGAATGATCAAAATCAATGTCAAAATGGCCAAAACATTCAATTTCAGTGGGGGTTGAGTAATTTTGAACACAACTGTATATGTAACACACACACTATAGTATAATGAATACAGTCGTCGTTGTCTTCGTCGTTCAGTCATGTCCGATTCTTGGTGACCCCAAGGACTAAAGCACGCCAGGCCCTCCTATCTTCCACTGCTTCCCGGAGTTGGGTGAAATTCATGTTGGTTGCTTCGATGACACTGTCCAACCATCTCATCCTCTGCTGTCCGCCTTCACACTTTCCAAGCATCAGGGTCTTTTCTAGGGAGTCTTCTCTTCTCATGAGATGGCCAAAGTATTGGAGCCTCAGCTTCAGGATCTGTCCTTCCAGTGAGCACTCAGGGTTGATTTCCTTCAGAATTGATAAGTTTGTTCTCCTTGCAGTCC